TTATTTGTTTATTAAATTTTATTTACTGAAATATTGTTCTTGCTTATTATAAACAAATTTCCCAATCTATTATTTTATTTTATAAGATGTTGCGAAGGAATTGGATCGGGCACAATTTTTAACAAAATCTTGGAGACGTATTCGATATAGTTTATAGTTCAGTTATGAGTCAAGTGGATAAAATAAAACGTGAGAATTTTTATTTTATTTTAATATGAATATAAAAAAAATATATAAAAAAAAAAAAAATGTATTAAATATTGAATTATAAATAGAGAAACCGGATAGATCCACGCCTTTTACATCAAACGAATTTTAAATTTAAATAAGATTTTACTTTTATTACGTAAAATATTTTTATTTTTGTCTGATAAAATAAGGGTTGGATGGCAAAGAAAACAAATAGGTATAAATTATTATTATTATTATAATTATTATGAAAAAAAAATTGTTTGTTGAAAGTTCCTATTTTAGCATTCATGTCTGACTTTTTATTTTTTTTAAAAAAAAAAAAATAAATAAGCCGAAATATTGTCAGTTTTACTTGATTATGGAAATCATCCTCAAGTTCGAAAACAAGGATTTCAGCTTTTGTTATTATGGATAAATGATCAAACAATAGAATTAGATGAATGCATTTACTTATATACAAATGCTATTTTATTAGATTTATTTTTATATGATCAAATGAAGAATATAGGCGAAGAATCGTGTAACTCAAAGGACAATGTATGTGAAAAAGTCATATTCCTATTGCTCTAGGACAAATTAATACGAGGTAAATATGAAGTTCGAGATATATTTTAGGACATATTTTTGTTGATGTAATATCAATCCATTTTTACCAGGTGATCATCGGGGTCCTTTATTTCCAAATCCACATTCATCGACATTTAATGATGCGATAAATATAATTCAAGTAAATGTAGGTAATCTAGTTAGATTAGCTCATGTTGCAGCTGGACCAATACCACCATCAAAGAATTATGAATTTCTGTAATAGAAAATATTGAACCTGATAATGGGATTGCTATAGGAATGGGAATTGATGCAGCATTAGCTGCTGCAAAGTTTCATTTTGAATTAATAAAGAAACAATATCTTGTAAAAAATTTATCCTCAATGTGCTAAATGTCTTGGATTATTACCCGAAAATCAAGGTGAAATTAATAAGCTTTGCTTTTTTACTTTTATTATTTTTTTTTTCATTTTTTCGGCTTTACTAATTTTTTATATACTGTATTTCAATTAAAAGAAGATGGTTTCAAAAATGTCTACCAGCAATTCTTAAAGCTTTAATTTCATCATTGTCAGATATTCATAGAATGTCCGACAATATTTCTTTATATCCTTCACCGTCTACACCTATATTAAAATCTATAATATTAGGTCCCGAGAATCGGGAATTTGCACATGAAATTGTGAGACAATCTTTGATGTTACCAGCTGGTAGCCCTCTTTATAAAGATATTATTAGAGGTGCTGTTCATATAGTGGGTGTTTGGATTCTAAGTGTGGTTAGTTTATTTTATTGCGATTTGAGTCAAAATATTCCCAGCCTTCCTTTTTGTTTATCAAACATTTTTTAATCTACAGGAAGAAGAAAGGCCACGTACTTACGTAAGTCCCTTCAAAATCTACTCTCACCAATTAGTCAAAATGATGCATCAACAACACCAGCTTCAACACAATTATAAGCTTCATCATTTACAAGTAAATATTCAGATGCAAATGTATATCTTAGAAAGTACTAGTTGGTAACAATTGTTCGACATATAAAAATTTACCTTTTTCGGAGTCCTGTGTAGATCTTTGCCAGATTCATCGAAAAGCAATTGAAACAATTTTGACGATTTTGTTACACAACGTGCAGAAGTTATCGTTTCAAATTTTTTTTTTTTGTATTGCAAAAAAAAATTACTTTTTTATATTTTAAACATTTCAAAAATTATATTTTAATAATTTTCATTAAACAAATTCTTTACTTATTTATTAATGATTATGGTAGTTAAAAAGTATTAGATGATTATTATTTAGCCATAACAGCAATATTAACAATTGGATATCAACTAATTTTTTTTAACTATCGCTTATACATTTCAAATTGATTCAGTTAAGTAATCAACTAAGCAGTTGGAGTTATTCAATTACGATCAAAATATATTTTTATTATTATTAAAGTGACTGATTTTGGAGAAATTTTTCATTTAATTTCTGAGTTTATATTTCCAAGTTAACGATTTCTTCATTCTTTCAATAGGTGGCAGTAATGTTGCTTTATTGGGGATATTAACATTGGTTCTTGGTCAGGTAAATATAACGATCAATCTAACCTTACCTATCCCAATTTCCTTTATCAATAATGTTTACTTGATATTATACAGACATGGTATGTTCGACAAATAATCGCGACGACATTCGCGGTTTTGTGGGGTGCAAGATTAGGATGTAAGCAATATAATTTACTGTAATTTATACATTCGTCATTTTAACTCCTTTCATTCTTCACTTTTCTTTTTTAGTATGTTTATATCGAATGTTAAAATCAGGAAAGGATTCAAGATTTGAAAGTATTAGATTTAAATTTGCATCATTGCTGTTCTTCTTTGTGTTACAAATGATATGGGTTTGGATAATTAGTTTACTTTTCATATTTTTAAATTCTCCAAGAATAAGTAATGATGAATATGATGGCAGGGATGTTAAATTCGGTAGAGCTACCGATGTTATTGGTGTGTTTGTATTTATCATCGGTATATTATTTGAATCTATTTCTGATTTTCAAAAGGTAATTAAATATTAAGTAGTTGTTTATTTTAATAATTTGTATTGCTTCTACTTGTGCTTACAATATTCTACTTTTTTTTCGTGTTCAGATAAAGCTGTACTTAACCAACACAATTTATGAAGACAGGACTTTGGTCGTGGAGTAGGCATCCAAATTATTTCGGTGAAATATGTGTAAGTTATTGATATTATTTATTTTGAAACATTAACGACTTTAAACCAACTAAATTACCTCTTTTTTTTTAATAAAAAAAATAAAAAAAATCTTTATAGATATGGTGGGTAAAATCAAGTAATTATATTATTTTCATAGCATCTTTTACCAACTCGATTTTAAATTTCGATTGTTTAGGACTGGAATCTTTTTATTATGTTTACAACCTATTATTACTGGAATAGGTACAAATGCCACTTATGCTTCCATTACCTCTCCCGTATTCACAATTTGTAAGTATAAAATTTTTTTAATTGATTTTTCAAAATTTCAATCCCCTTCTCAATTTCTTAAACTCCTTTCTTTTCTTTCCCAAAGTCTTGCTCATGTTTTTAAGTGGGATGCCATTAAACGAACGTCCCGCACATGAAAAACAATGGAAGCAAGGAAACTGGAATGATTACTCCAAATATCTTGAGCGTACTTCTGTATTAATACC